AACTCTCTTTACTGAGTTGCCGTGGTAGTCTATTTATACAACTCTATCCATCTAGTCCCAGTACAGCTGCTCTGCTGCAACAGTGACTAGATAACATACAGGGCTGACTCTGCGCCGGCCACTACATGTGCCTACAGTGCTGCAGGTGAGCAGTTCGGCGCCTGTACCTGTAGCGGCTACAGTATCACAGCAGGGGGCCTTTTCGACGCCGCCTTCCCTTTGCTGTGTTCACACAAGGTAGCAGTAGATTATCTAACAATAGTCCTATCGTTACTTACATTACAACTCCTTACATTATTCATTTACGTCTATTCAAATGCTATTATGCAATTCTTTGATGTTTCATAGATAATTGTCAGCTTATTTTACAGAGTAGTACTGCAGCTCATTTGTTGGGGAGCCTCACCCAAGCAAACTAATGCCAACCAATCTAATCAAAATCACAAAAGAGATAAATTATAAACATGCACTTGATATACAAGTAGTCAGACCCATTTTTACAAGCATTTTAACACCCTAACCCTTCACTACATGTAGTACGTTGGGCACTACTGCCAAAAATACCCAGATAACGATGTTTCAAATAATTAATTAATGGAAAGGGAAACAAATAAGGAATTAAATTGGTAAAGCAGAATGTAAAATAAATACAGAACACACTTGTAACTATGTGATAATTATGACAATGCAGTTTCAAAATTAGATGACTAGAATAGAGGATAATGGCAATTCACATGATCGCCTCATCTTCCCTTGCACTGCCCGTAAGCTCAAGAAGTGCGGAAGGTTTTTTGGACCGGGAGCAATTCAGTGCAGCCCAACAGATTTTACACTAAAATTTTGACACCATAGCTAAATGGTGGTAAGCTACGGTGAGAACCATACCCAAAGACCAAAAACGCACTTGTAACACTTGGTGGAACGTCTGGAAAGAGTGAAACATAAGAATTTTTAACAATGAGCTCCAAACGGAGCAACAGGTTACTAATAAAGTCTTGAGAGGATTTAGCATTGAGAAGGATAGCATTTGCTTGGACTTTGTAAAGGCCTTACCATTTCTGCTTCTTGGCACTCTATCTCTTCTCTTGTGTACTGGCAGGCTGGGGAGCCTATCAGGTGCCCCTTTGACACTCTTGTAATTAACTCTATTTGCTTTCTTCATAATTGAAAGGCATAGCTCCTATCATTGCTTTCATATACAATTGGTGGCAAAAACTTTTACATGCAAAATTTACTGTACTATTGTTGAGCATTTTCATAAGGATAAAAAAATGCATAACTGAGATAAAATAAAAGCAAAGCAACACCTCAATACAACATATACTATTGAAATTACCAGATAAATGGAATTTATCTAGGCTGGGAGTTCAGAACACATGTTACTTGGCAACTGAGCTAGGATTGTTTGGGTCTATCACCTTTGCTTTATCATCTTGGCATTGAGATTATATATTTGCATCATCCAAGATCGTAGCAGACATCCTTCCTTGTCCGTATGCTAGAGCAGCAGTAGTAGTCTAGTAGAGGCTGCAACTAAAATAGCTGCAAATTTCAATGATGTGTGCTCCTGAAAAAGGGAGATGAATTTGAAGGGGTAATTAGTCTGAAGACAGAAAATCGACAGAAACACTTGAGAAAACAAATTGATGTGTAATACTGCTGAAAGTGAATGCAACGAAAGCACAAAGTGGTATGCTAGCAAGATAATAACTGCCTATAAGGTGGGCAATGGAAGGGATAATAGCAGAAAAGAACAAACACTGCATAAAGCAAATGAATAAGGAACCAATGTGAAATTGGTTGTCTGTAGCAAACCAGGTAGTTCTGAAGAGAGATTGCATGCTGGATGCAGCTTACAGTTGGCTGGGGCAAAACGGTACAACCTGGTTAATCACCAGAGATGGCACCACAAACTTGCCTCTGATATTTGCATTTTCTCTTAAGGAACCTTGCTTGTGATCAAACATGCTTAGAAACACATAAGGAGCATTACTCTTTTACATTATATCCATGCAAATACAGTATGTTGATTCTTAAAAAAACAGAACTTTTATTGTACACGCTGTACGCAGGGTCACATCATGCAGCTAATTGTACTAAAATATTGGATCTTACCTTTTCTTTCTCAACAAATCATCATTTCATACTAAACCATCGATAGACTTATTTTTCTTGTTTGCTGTTCGCAGGTTCACATGTCAAGGTAATTGCAGGTACTGCTGCTAATAAAACATTCCTTTTATCCAAAATAAAAAGGGATATTCATTACACACAAATTCTTATCTTTCTCAACTATGGCTCTTAACATTATCCCAGAACCATTAACAACACCAAGTGGTGCCTTCCTATCGAGACACAGTTAATGATTTCCTGTTCTTGCTTGCCAGCTACATCATCGGTTGCCACAATAGTGGTTCTTCTGTCGATTGTGGCCACTGGACTCTATCTTTCACTTAAGACAAGATATAATGAGGAGATACACTTGAAGGTCGAAATGTTTCTCAAGACATATGGCACATCAAAACCCACAAGGTACAGTTTCTCTGAAGTTAAGAAGATAACAAGGCGATTTAAGAAAAAAGTAGGCCAAGGTGGATTTGAGAGTGTATACAAAGGCAAGCTACCAAATGGAGTGCCTGTGGCAGTCAAAATGCTAGAGAACTCTACAGGAGAGGGAGAAGAATTCATCAATGAAGTTGCAACCATAGGACTAATCCACCATGCAAATATTATGCGTCTCCTGGGTTTTTGCTCTGAAGGAACAAGGCGTGCCCTTATTTATGAATACATGACTAATGAGTCACTGGAAAAATATATATTCTCACGTGGTTCTAGTATTTCCCAGGAACTACTAGTGCCAAAGAAAATGATAGATATTGCTTTAGGTATTGCTCGAGGAATGGAATACCTACATCAAGGATGCAATAAACGCATCCTCCACTTTGACATCAAACCTCACAACATCTTGCTAGACTTTAACTTCAACCCAAAGATCTCAGACTTTGGCCTAGCAAAACTGTGTGCAAGAGATCAAAGCATCGTTACCTTGACAGCAGCAAGAGGCACTATGGGATATATTGCACCAGAGTTATACTCTCGGAATTTTGGTGGGGTATCCTACAAGTCGGATGTTTATAGTTTTGGCATGCTGGTGTTAGAAATGGTAAGTGGAAGGAGGAACTCAGACCCAAGCATTGATAGCCAAAATGAAGTTTACCTCCCAGAGTGGATCTTTGAGAGAGTAATCACTGGGCATGACTTGGTACTTTCTAGGGAAATGACTGGAGGAGAGAAAGAAAATGTGAGACAGCTAGCCATGGTGGCCCTATGGTGCATTCAGTGGAACCCAAAAAATCGACCCTCAATGACAAAAGTGGTGAACATGTTAACAGGGAGGTTGGAGAATCTGTAGATGCCCCCAAACCCTTTCGTCTAATCTGAATTTTGAAAGTCATCCAGTGTCATAAAAAATATATTAGAGAATACATTGTCATTATGTATTGAATATTCGAGACAAACTTAGCTCCTGCTGTGTTGTAGAGTAGTCCATAGTGCCTGCATGAAAATGTATTTGAGTTTTTCCACCGTATCTGTATCTGATGAATTAATAGTAACTTGTCGGCTTGTCACCATGTAGTGCTACTTATCTGCAACGCATCAAATTTAAAGTGGACTTGGCTTGTGTGTAATAGTTTAAAGAGTCCTGTTGCTTCAATTCCTAAAGATCTTGCCATGATTTAGTTCCATCCTATTCTGCCCTTTCTGTAGTACATATTCTTTTTCCAACTCAATGAGACAAAAAATCAAAATAAGTTGAGATAAAAATTCAAAATAAGCTGGACAAAAATTCCTAATGATCTACGATGCTAATGGATGGGTCATGGGTGGGCATGGGTCTGAGCACATCTATTACTTGAGATTTTGCAAAGCAATAACAAGACAAAAGGAAAAAGGTAATAGTAACTCGTTACCTTTGCCATTGCCATGGAGGATTCTGGATCTCGAATCACTAAGCTGCCGCTAGCGTCCGTTGCAGGAGCAAAGAGACCGGTGAGCGAGCAAGGGCATCACGGTGTAGAATGGCATGGAGGCGACAAAGGCGCAACCGCGCAAGAAGTACATGAAATTTCCTATTGAAAGCTTGGTGAGTTTCGGCATTGGTTGACTGCATGATGCGATCGCTGCTCGACGGCAGCCGCTACCTGAGCACCAGTCGGTGGGTAGAAGATGTGGGTATTGGGGCTCCCGTTCTACCAAAGTGGATTGGGCCCACCATCTTGTTTCTAGTTTTCCACTAACGCCCATAAAACTTCTGCCCAGCAGAACAAGCAAGTGCCCGGACAGACAGACTGAGTTGCAGCTGGTTTAAGTGTCAAACTCGAACATAACATGCATGAATAGGAGAATGAAGTAACTCTGGCTGACCATTTAAGATCTAATCATGTATCCTTTTAGTAACATTGCTTCTATTTATATTATATTTGTGTGGATCTAGTTGGTACGAGAACGACAATTTACTGGCTCAGTCCAACATTGATCGAAGTCAACCGCAAAAAGATACATTCAAGCTTTACCGTAAGAATCAAATATGGCATGGACACCTCTCCGGTCTCCATGGCATGGATGAAGCTGTCATGTTCATAATTCAGCTATGCACCAACAGTGCTCCTATACTGTGTTGCTGGTTCACAGTGCATTTTCCAATATCCATCCCAATCTCAGGCAAATACATTTGCAGTATTAGCAGTCCAGAAACGCATGTCTTGGCATCTTGCTTTCAGGAAAATTATTATATCCCAGCATAACTATAACAATTGCCAATCTCCATCTTAAGTTATACATGTTTTCTCACAAACATTTTCAAGAATCAGAAAACTGTGTACCATAAAACTGATTGGACATCATGAAAATGATTAACACACATAACAGCCTATTTCAGGTTTCACTAGCTAATGCTCTGCTCACCTTATCTACTACCCGAGCACAGATATGTAAACAATTCAATCATCTTCCTCAATTGCATTGAGCTCTGAGGAGAAATGGTGGGAATCTGTATCGACAATATGATCATCGCAGAAGAATGGCCTAGAAGGCATATGGAGGCCATCAGTGCCGCACTCAAACATCTCTATAACCTCACTCATCATTGGACGATCTTGCGGCTTCATCTGAATGCACCGTAGCCCAACAATGCACAGTTTCCTTTCCAACTCATGCATGTCGGACACAATAGATATCTCATCAAATTCTTGTGCGGCTAGACGATCATAGACCCAGGCCGGGTAGTATGCTTGACTTGAGTTGGCTGCATTTTGGTCTGCGTTCCTTCGCCCTCCTGCCATCTCCAGCAGTAGCATACCAAAGCTATAAACATCGGATTTGATTGATATGGCACCAAAGCTACGAGATACCATTTCAGGAGCTATGTACCCAATAGTTCCCCGCATGGCGCTCGCTGGCACAAAGCTCTTGTCTCTTGGGTACAACTTGGCAAGGCCAAAGTCGGCAACTTTTGGAACAAAATTGCTGTCAAGAAGGATGTTGTGTGGCTTGATGTCAAAGTGAAGGATCTGCATATCGCAACCCTGATGCAGGTAGTTGATTCCCCTTGCAATGCCCAAAGCAATCTTGTTGAGCTTATCCCAAGAGAAACTTCTTTCAGCGGAGAATATGTACTTGTCAAGAGAACCATTGGACATGTACTCATAGACCAGTGCCCTCCTCATTTCCTTTGAACAGAAGCCCACAAGACGAACCACGTTAATGTGGTGGATCCTACTGATTGTGGAGACCTCGCTGATGAACTCGTCCCCATTGCAGTTGGAGTTGCCCAGCATTTTGACGGCTACATGCACGTTTCCCGAGAGTAGGACACCCTTGTATACAACAATGTTTTCAGATCGTATTATTGAGGCTAGTCGTATGACCACCGATTAGCTCGATAAGGGTCGATTTGTCGGTCCTAATCGGTCTAATTGGCTAGTCGGACATTTAGTCGTCCTTGTGCCTAGATGGCCTGATCGACCATGTATATACTATATATATGATGTAAATATATGTAAACATGGCCATAATAAATAGGTAAATGTTAGAGGCAAGCAACCAAGCACAGTTTGGCATGTAATCATGTTTGCAATGAATCATTATCATGGTGATTTGGCCACTTACCTGTAATTGCTGCTTGCTGATTTGGCCACTTACCTGTATCATTGTGGCTCATCTTGATGCTTGAGGGCTCGCGTGTCCGTCTTCCAGGCGTCGAGGAAGGAGCCTCAGAGGCGGGCAGATCTACTGGGTCCCGGCAGGGGAGGAGACAGGAGCGAGCGGAGGTGGAGGCGCGGTCAGAGCTGCGGACGCCGGACAGAGGAGCGGGCGGAGCTGCGGACGCCGGCGAGAGGCGCGGGTATGGAGCTGCAGATGCCCGACAGAGGCGCGGACGGAGCTACGGACACCGGTGAGGGGCGCAGACGGAGCTGCGGACGCCGGCGAGGGAGATCCAGAGGCAGGCCGGCGGCGGCTGCGAGAGAGAGCAGCGGCTGCGAGAGAGAGCAGTGGGAGCTGGAAATGCGGCTGCAACTCCCACTAGGTCACTCACTCACTCCTCTTCTTCTTACCCTAATGGGCCAGCAGCCAGGTGGGCCGAATTCTTTAGCTGGGCCAAATTCTCCCTCCCCCGAACTAGTCGTCCGGCTAGTCTGATCGGACGACTAATCGTGATTAGTCGCAACTTATCGGACGATAAGTTTTCTAATTGGTCTAAACTAATCGAGGGCCCTTATCGAGCACCTGGTTACAATAAGGACGACTAATCACGATTAATCGTGATTAGTCGTCGGATCTGAAAACATTGGTATACAGAGCCGTATCCTCCATGACCCAACTTGTCTCTGAAATGGCTAGTGACCGCGGTGATGTCCGTGTAGGCAAACCTAGTAGGACCAAGCATTTGTTGCATCTGGAGAAACTTCTCTACTGCATCAATGGTTATCCTTGTTTTCCAATACTTGTGGGCAAGGAATATGAATACTACCAGTGCAGGGAGTACGAGCCTGCATAATACTACCCAAACAAGTTGCAAATATATATAAAGTTAGACAACATAAGTAGGTTACTAAAAACTGTAGCCAATGATGATTAGAAAGAGGTAGGCACACTCCACGTACCAAAATGTAACTTGGCCACGCTTATAGCAGATACTATGGCTATGACAACCCTCTGGAACATAGGATTTGGGGAATAGTAAGAGTATACACAATGTGCGAAATGTGATTCACTCCAGAAGAAAGCACGAGTCCATTTCAGGATGCTTGTGCTAGATAATTGGTCATGGAAGTAGCTGCAAGACACCGTTGTGAATAAAGGATTAAAGAAGGAAGCATACAGTTGTGGATAATTATATGAAAATAAATAAATTCCAAAGAAGCATGTCAGATAATCGGTTTCATACTTGATGCAGAGCACAGACTCACCTGGATGAGTTATTTTGGCATGTTTTGAGTATCCAAGAAGCATTGTGGCCTAAATAATCATCCCAAGGAAATCGAACAGAAAGCCCCTTCGTTACCAATTTTATGATATCTTTATAACTGGCATTCTCTAACTCTCGGTATGTGCTACAAAAGGGGATCATGGCCAAGTATCCACAAGAAGGTTCAAGAGAGCTGACATTACAACCATAGTAATCATCGTTAGTCATGACATAAACAAAGGAATTGTTCGCACTCAGGCAATTAACGGGCTTGTACCAACTATTTTTCGCTACTTCTTGCAAACAATTAATAAAGCATGCCCAATAAGGGGCTTGAGTGACCAAATCATAATGGAAAAGCAAACCGCTGTCCGTGTAAGACCCATCATAACCATAGTAAGGAAACTGATCCCAGCGAGGAAGAGGGCAACTACTGTGCATGTCCAAGTTGGCGTCCACAACCCAGAAGGACTGATCGGTATGGCTGATGTTACTCACAAAATATGTCCCCGTATTAATGCGAATGGTAGCCTTGCTGCTGCTACAGGCCAGCTCGTATGCTTGTACACCGCATTCAGGTGGGTCGCCTGGCCTACGGAAAGGGGATGAGATGTTGTGGAGATCACCACAGGAGAAATGAGGACACTGACCTTGGCCCCCAGAAACTGCAGCACGAACAGCAGTCACAGAAATAATGACAAGTAAAGCTTGCCAGGTAGCAGAAGGATGAAGAAATGCACATGGGTTCACCATGAGAGATTTCTAGATGCAGGAATGCTAGCTAGGAGTGTTGATATTGGACAAGCCGAGAACGGACGCGTTAGTTTTATTTAAGCGCTGCAGGCCCGGTATGATTTTTTAGCAGCGTTGACTAAGTTTACTTGACCACAGAGGGAAGTTTCATGGAAACTTAGGCCATCTCTTATTTACTTCCACCTCCTCAACCTCTTCTTCCTTTTCCTTCTCTCAGTTACTATTGAAGTATTGATACAGAAGCATGAGTGGATTTCTTATCGTAGCTCTGCTGCTGTGTCTTCTCAAAGATGGAGCGTTGACTCAGCAGGAAGTTTCATGGAAACTTAGGCCATCTTCTTCCTTCTCTCAGTTACTATTGATACAGAAGCATGAATGGAGTTCTTATCATAGCTCTGCATTTGCTGCTGTGTCTAGTCCAAAAAAAAAGAGATGACTGAATTTCTTGTCATAGCCCTGCTGTTGTGTCTCCTCATAGATGGAGTGTACAAGGCCACAGGGTGGGATGATGCGGACTTCTTCAGCAACTGCCCGCCATCTCGGTGCAGTGAACATGGTCCGGAGATCAGGTACCCTTTCAAGCTCGAATCCAGCAATACCTCATCATTATGCGGAGCACCATGCATGAAGCTAGCATGCTATGGCGACGACACCATTCTGGTTTTCCCACCAGCCGTTATATCATACAAAGTGACCGCCATAGATTACAAGAGTGGCGCCCTGACGATCGCCCCGCGTGTGGATGACTCGTCTCCCTCCTGCAAGCAGAAGCTCAAGTCCATGTCCCTACCTCGCAGATTATCAAATGTGAGGACCCGTGTCCCTCACTGCTATGCCTTCTTGAATATGCAACGATAGTTAGCTGCTTAAAAGAGTTCACACCAAGTAATCTTGCTGCTAATTACATCTTTGGCCCGATCTCGTGCCATAGCAGCACGTCCCAGTTCTCCTATTTGGTGGATGGTTCTGCATCCATGTCTACGCTTCCACTAGATTGCGAGGTTGTGCCTGATAGCCACTTTCCGATACGCACTCGCAATGACGGTTCAACGTTCCAGGATCAAGCCAAAACAATACTCGATTTCTCATGGTCCACAACAATCAGTTATTTGTATTATTATTATAGAGGTGATGACAGCATCGAAGAGAACTGCACAGTTTGTGTGCAAGGTGGGAGACACTGGGGGTTCAGCCCATACAGGAATCAAACCTTCTGCATCAATCACGGTATTATCTCTAACTGGGCAAAACCATACAGCCACTATGCGATTATGTCTACTCAGATGCTATCATATCTTACATTACAAGTCCTTACATTATTTATTTTTGTCTACTTAGATGCTACTATGCGATTCTTTGAATTTCGTAGATAATTGTCAGCTTATTTTGCAAAGTAGTACTGCAGCTCATTTTGTTGGGAAGCCTCACCCAATGAAACTAAGGCCGACCAATATTATCAATATCACAAAAGAGATAAATTATAAACATCCACTTGATATAGCAACAGTTGTTAGCTAATCTACTGCCACCTTGTGTGAACCCAACAGAGGAAGGCGGCGCCGACTTGGCCCCCCTACTGTGATACTGTAGCCGCTGTAGGTGCAGGCGTCGCACGGCTCACCTGCAGCACTGTAGGCACATTCAGTAGCCGGCGCAGAGTCAGCCCTGTATGCTTATCTAGTTACTGTTACAGCATGTGCGCTGTACTTTAGTTAGATAGACAGAGTTGTATAAATTAGGCACCAAGGCAACTCAGTAAAGAGAGCTTAGATTTGCCATCACACAGACAGGACCTCGGCCAACGTTGTTGTCTTGTATTGTGCGTGCTTGCTCTGTTCTCCCTTCTTCTTCTAGCTCGATCCGTAGTGTGTGGGTACGGACAAAGCCGGTACGGTGGTCGGCATGGTTAGTGGTCTGGGAGGCCAGGGTCTAGAGACTAGTGGTCTGTAGGCTGGAGACTAGTGGTCTGGGAGGCCAAAGGTCTGGAGACTAGTGGTCTAGAGGCTGGAGACTAGTGGTCTGGGAGGCCAGGGGTCTGGAGACTAGTGGTCTGGAAGGCCAGGGCTGCGAGGCTAGTGGTCTGGAAGGCCAGGGCTGCGAGGCTAGTGGTCTGGAGGCTATCTGGTTCACTGTCGTCAGACGGTGATCCCGTAGGTCAACAAGTGGTATCAGAGCTTCGTACAAGCGCCGTCGTCATTCTAACCGATGGCGATGACATGCGGTTTG